CAAATTTCAAAAATATTTTTTTCAAATATATGAACAAAATAAATGATATAATGATTATTATAAGTGAATATTTCTTAAATAAAATTAAAATAATTAAGTAGAATCATTGCAATTTTTGTGATCTTAAAAAATATTTTAATACATATATTAATATATATAATAATATTTTTAAATGATATAATAATAATAATGATAAAAAATGATATAATAATAAATGATAAAAAAGAATGTATCATATATATTATAAATATAATGCTTATATAAAATAATAGAAAATTTAATAAAAGAAGAAAACAAAATGAAAAAATTTTTAATAAATAAATTTTCTAATTGTTATTTGATTTGAGAGATATTTATTTATAATTATTTATTTTTATATTAAAATTATAACAATTATGTTTTTTTGATCTTTAGTAATTTTTGGATATGCTGCAACTATAATTCCTAGTGTTTATACATATTATATTTCTACTGCACTTTTTGCTTTATTTGGCTTAAAAATGTTACGAGATGGTTATAAAATGTCTGCAACTGAAGGTCAAGAGGAATTAGAAGAAGTACAATCAGACTTAAGAAAGCGAGAAGATGAGGTATGAGTATTAAAAATATAAATAGTTTCAAAGAATTTTTCATTAGATTTTATAGTATAAGTGTTTTGAAACTATTCCTTTAACATTTTTGCAGGAATTAAATAATTTTTAAATATCATCACTTTCAGTATGAAAAAGAAACAGGAAGCACTTTAGTACAAGATCCAGAAACTGGTGTTATAAGGAAAGCAACAAAAATTAGTGCACTGATGCTCCTATCTAGGATATTTCTTCAAGCATTTACGTTAACATTTCTTGCAGAATGGGGTGATCGTTCACAACTTACAACTATTATACTTGCAGCAAGAGAGGTTAATGACATTTATATTTAATATTTGACATTGTAATATTTATAATTTTAGAATCATAGAAAAATTTTGAATATATTTATATTTATATTATATTTATATAAAAAAAAATATAAAAGATGTATAAAAATTTATTATTTTTAGGATGTTTATGGAGTTGTAATAGGTGGAATATTGGGACACTCATTTTGCACAGGATTGGCAGTATTAGGAGGACGAATGATAGCTCAAAAAATTTCAGTGAGAACAGGTAAAATGCTTTTTTTATATTAAAAAAATATATTATTATTATATATAAATATATATTATTATTATCAAAAAAATTTTAGAATCATATAATCTAGATACATATAAATACAAATCATTAAATATTAACATATAATAAAGAAACAAAAAAAAAATAATTAAAAATATTTTTATTATTCTTAGTGACCATAATTGGTGGATTGGTATTTCTACTATTTGCTTTAACAGCACTTTTTATTAGTCCTACGGAAGATGTATGAAAATAATATACAGTATTTATGTAGCTATATGTCATGAAATATATTTTGCTATAAGATAATGTACATATTTTTTCTATTTGTGTACAGACTGTTATGAAATAGTAAAAATCATAATGTACACTAAATTTTATTTCTGAAAAGTACTTATGTATATATTTTGTACATTATGTTTAAAATTATATTGATATAAATAATTAATAACTGTGAATAAAATTATTGTAAAATTAAATGATACAATATATCAAACATTAAACAACAATGTATAAATATAGTGTAAAAATAATAAGTAATATTGTTATAAGCTATTTTATTGAATATTTTATGTTAGAATATATATACAATCTACTTACATTACATAAATTTCTCAAGAAATTTTTTAAGACATTTATGTTAAATTACTATTATTATTCTTGTTATTGTTGTTCTATTGTTATTATTACTGTTGCTACTATTATTTTTGTTATTATTATTATCATTATTATTTTGCTAATACTATATTATTTTATGTATATTATGAAAAATTAATGTATTAAATCCACATTTATATATTAGGATTATAAATATGGAAAAACATGATTTTTATATATAATTAAATTTTAATTAATGTCAAACATGTAATATTTCTTTTATATATAAATATAGAATTAACGATATATATTGATGAGTAGATTTATTTTAAAAGAAGTAACGAAATATATAAATCAGCTGTAAAATAATTGTCATTTTCAAATATTGAGAAATACGAGTATTATAACATGTTCGCAATTATTTTAATAGTTTAACGCATAAAATTCTTGCAATTAGCATTATAACATATATGTGTATATCTATTCAGAAAATCAAGAAATGCTACAGATAATGTTGCACTGATAGTGTAACATTACGTACATTAGGTACAATGATTATTCTTCATGATCTATGTACTATTTACTTATTATTGTATTCTATGTATTATTGTTTCTTAATCCAGTTATTTAAGCACTGCAACCCTGTAAAATATAATTTACTTGTTCATAAATAATAAATACACATATATTTATGAATATTATATAAAATTATATAAAATAAAAAAATAATAGAAATATAGAAAAAAAAAATGTAAATCTGAAAATATATATAATCGTTTTAATTTGAATTTTATTTTATGATGCATAATTTAATAATTTATAAATATATTATATTATATTATTCATATTTATTCATATTTATAGATTATGTGTGTATATATATATATATACATATATATTATGTATATATATCTATATATATTTTTAAATATGCTTTGCTTCATATTTAATTATATATTTATTATTATAATTTCAACATATTATTTTTAGTGATATATTTTAAGTATACTAAACTTTTTAACTCAATAAGAAAAAAATTATATTATAAAATAAAAAATTATTTTTTTATATATATTTTTTTTTTAATATAAAACCTTTTTTTAACGTTCTGTATATTTTATCTTATTCTTTTGAAAATTAAAATATTTAAAAATTATAAAATATTTAATAAACTATGTATTATATTATATTATATATAAATTTTATTATCCTTACTTAATTAATATTAAATGAAGTTAATTCATGTTGGATTTGGCTGACCAGTAGTTCTACATTGTGCTTCAGATGCTCGAAATTTTTCGAGCCTATGTAATGGATCCATTAAGCTTTTTTCTTCAGAACCAGTAGATTCTGCTATTTCTACGTTACATAATTACATGTAATATACATTACATAATTATATGTAATAATACATATAATAATAACAACATATGATAATTTTAATATTAAATGTATATATTTACCTGTAGAATATTGGTTATTAGTTTGCGTTATAAGATTTTGATTTTTTCGTGCTTGATCAATATCTCTTAATCCTTGTTCTATAAAATCTTGGAAAAATTGATGCGATTTCACCAAAAAAGGTTGTACATCCGCTTCAGGATATTGAAGTTTAAAATCATAAAGCTGCATTAAACCCTATATAAAATAATATCAAAATATATAAATAATAAATAAATAATATAAATAAATAAATATTAATATTAAAAATAAAAAAATGTTAACCATTGGATAATATCTAAAATATTGATAATACATACTTCTTGTGTATGTTCTTTAGATCCAATCTTTTTAAATATTTCAGATAACTGTTGATGTGTGAATTTTGATAAATGTTCTTGAGTTTTTCCAGTGCTACTGGATTTTACAATCGATTTGGGATTACTATTAATTTCATCTGGTTTAAATGTCTATTAAACATTATTATAAGAAATTTAAACTTTATTATATTTTTTATAAGATATTAAATCTTATAAATCTTACAATATCTATCTAATAAACTAACCGTAATTAGTCTGATAAGATAGGAATGCAATTCTGATTCATTTGTATTATTTATTCGTGTTAAGTGACTAAGTATTGTACTGCCTTTTACACGAGTCATACTATGAAGAATTGTTTTAATTGTACGTAATGGAGTATCAGATTTTCGTTTTTTCCACCATATACTTGGATAATCCTGTCAAAAAAATATATTTTTAAATAATTCGATTATCATGAATAATATTCATAAAATATATGTTTATTTTATTCATAAAAAAATATATTTATTTATTTATTTATTACCTTAAGGAATCGATGTACTTCTAAAAGAATACTGTCATAATCTAAATCTGCAGCCCAATTAGGAATTGTTTTTACTATTTTCCATAAACATTTCATTACTAATTCTTCATATTTGGATGGAGCAACTGATTCAGCACATCCATGAAGTAATTTTATTAATACGCTTATTATTAAAGAAATAAAAAAGAATTAATTAATTTTTTAATTAAATTAATTTGAATAAGAAAATATATCGTTAAATATATATCAGTTAAAATATATATCAATTTTAATATTAATAAACAAAATTTTTTAAATTATTACCATATAATAGTAGTATGATTTGAGTTATCTATTATTTTACAAATAATAATATTAACTATGCGAAGATATGAATCTGCTTGATGTAAATGATTTAATTTATTCTCTGCTAAAAAACTGATCATTTGATCCACAAGTTCTTTTAAATGTATTAATGGAACATTCTTTCCCAGAATTCCAGTATCATAAAACTATAAACACAATAAATATATTTTATATCTTCTGTTATTTAATACCTATTATATAAAATAATTCTTACCGCTAGTAAAACCATAAATGTATTTCTAAAACCTTTAGGTATATCTGTGCCTCCTTGTTGTAAAGGATAAGTTTGTAAAAGTTTTAATTGCATATTTATTGAGCCAATAAATTTATCTTCTTTTGATTGCAAACTCAAAATTTGGTGAGATTTTATCAACTATAAAATAATTAAAGATTATAAATGTGATAATTTATATAAAAATATAAAATATATAAAAAAATATAAATATAAAAATATATATTTTAAATACAAACATTATCTATGCTATTCATTGATTGTATTGCAACAGCTAAATCTAAACTAGCCATTGCAAGAATTTTACGTTCGAGACTGTCTTCTTTACTTATATTAGTAGTATTCAATTGCTGTTGTGCCATTGATGCAGATTTTGATACTAACAATTTTGGAGGAGATAGAGGAATTACTCTGAAAAAATTTAACATATCAAAATCTAACATTTCTAATAATTTATTTTACTTATCATTTAAAAATGATATTAATTTTTTTAGATTATACTATTTATTTTTATAGTTTTCAACAATAATATAAAATTAATTAATTTTTAATATAATTAATTCATTTTTAATATAAAAATACAAACTAGAAAAAATTGCGAATTATATTTTTTATTTTTTTAAAGTAGAAAATGTAAATAATTATAAAAAAAAGTAAATACTTACGGTACTTTATGTAAATTTATTGTGTTGGGATTTTCATCTAAATCTGTTAAATTAATTTCTTGAAGAACAGGATTACAATATTTTACTGGTGCATTTAACTCAATTTTTCGTAAAAAATCCATATCAAGTCCAAATGGACCTGAAACTTTTGGTTGTGTTGATGTTGGAGAATTTCTAAAAATGAAAATTATATAAATGTTATGTAAAATTTTATTAATAATAATATTATTTATTATACATAATTTTAATTTAACATTACTATACTAAATTATCTCATCACCTTAACAATATTGAACCAATTTCAAACTACAAAATTTAAAACATCAAATGCTATTATTTAAATGAAATTATTTTTATAAAATTAATGAGATCATTATTTTCATAAAATATTAAATTTAAAAAGAAAAAATAAATATATATATATGTAATAATCAATTAAAAAAAAAAATTTACACTACTAAATTAAAGACATAATAGATTAAACATGCATTTTTTTGTTATTTCCAAAATACACCCGCCACCACATAGCATATTGAAAACAAATCACAAGAAGCACAAACGTTTTAGTATCATCTTCATGATGATTTGGAGATGAAATATTTATTTCTGATGATATGTTTGAAAGAGGTTCATTAGTTTCATAAGATTCGGTTGTTATATGTTCTGTTGTTACAATCTCTGTTGGCCTGGAAAATTATTAAAAGCAAATTCATTCAAATAATTTATTCAAATGAATAAAAAAAATAAAATAATTAAAAAATATATTAAAATTGATATATTTAATATTAGTAATATAATAATGATATTGAAAACAATTAAATATTGTATGTATATATAATATATATACAATCTAAAAGTTGTAATATATAAAATATATAATTTTATAATAACTATTAATAAAAATTTTAAAGCAAAAATATGTAATATATATATATATATTAGACTTACAATTCATTTGATTGAGATGGTTCAGAAGGCTGAGGTTCAAGTATTTCTTCTTCGTTTTCTTCTTCAAATTCTACTTTAATGTCTTCATTAGAAGGAATAGGTGTTGCATTTGAAGGTGCAGAAAGTCTATTGGTAGAAGCCGATTTATGAGGTGCTGGATAATTTTTAGCAGCTCTTTTAATACGTTCATCTAGTAAAGATTGATCTTTTTCAGATATCTAAAAATCAAAATTAAATCATAAAAAATTATAATTATATACAACAATAAAATAAATATCAGTTAAAAAATGATTACCTGACCAATGAGCTTATATATTCGTTCTCCTTGAAGAAAATATGCTTGAACAATACAATTTAAAGCAGCATTTCTAACAGAATTATCACGATCTGCTATTTGTTTTGCAATTTCTTTTAGTGCTACAGATGTAGATGGTTGACAAACAGATAATCCATAATTTTCAATAAGAGAACCAAGTTGATCTAAACATTCTACAAACATAATTTATTTAATATTTATTTAGTATTATTTATATTTTTTTTTATTTATTATACCTGTTCTTTGTCGAGCATTTTTAGATTTTAAGCCTTCCATTACATAAGAAAATAATTTGCTTACTGGATATACTAATGCGATTTGTTTAAATAATGCACGTACTCCATTACGTACTGCATCTTTTGGATCACCAATCTAAATAAATATTATATAGAGATAAATATGTTGATAAACAAATAATAAAATAATAATATTATCGAAATAATAAAATATGAAATAATTTACTTTAATAATAAGATATGGAATAAATGATGCAGCTTCGTTTTCAAACATATGATATTGGTTTTCTATTAATAAATTAAATACCATTCGCAAATATTCTAAACCTTTTAATAATACTGAAGGATTAGTATCAAAGAATCTCAATGTCAACCATTTAAGTATAAGATCTAAATTCGAAACCAATGCTTTGCTATTATCAGGCAAATCCTAGAATTATATTAAATTATTACAAATAGAATTATTAGAATTATTACAAATATAAAAAATATTATAATAGAAAGTTTATATTTATAATAATTTAATGAAAAATTTAATATAATAAAATATAATAAAATAATTACCTCAGTTAATGCCTCAATTGCCTTAAGATGATATCGAAAATCTGAATGAAACATATTTGCTAATAAAGTTTTATTCACATTTGCAGCAGTCATAAGTTCTTTTAAAAGTTCAACAAATTCTTCCCTCGGTGTTGTAAAGTTCCATTTCAAAACTTTTAATTTTTGTTCATCAATTAATCTTTGATGTTTTAAATTATTAATAGCCAATAAAGGACTAGTATCTATATCATCATCTTTTTTACGAGCACTACTAGGTTTTGATCTCGATTGATTTTGTTTAGGTTTTACTACTGCTTTTGCAGCTTTCAAAGCTCCAGCACTTTTAACGATTTTCTGATTATTTTCCTTTGGTGCTTGTTTTTTCGGTAAAGGTTTGATAGGCAAATTTGGTCGACATTTATCTAATGCAGCAAGTACTACAGTTCGTGATCCTGGTTTTAGCTTTTCTGTATTTCTAGCCATTACTTCATAAGATAAATGAATCATAAATCCTAAAACTGCTTCTTGAGCATTTTTCCGCACATCAGAATTACGATCCTCTAAATTATTGTACAAATATGGAAGACATACAAGAAGTTCTTCTTTTGCTATTTGTTTTACAGGAATCAATGGTAATTTTTGTGCTAACCAATTCCAAACTTCAGCTCTAAGTATTGGAGATCCAGATTTCAAAGCATCTCCAATCATTTCACCATCAAAAAATTCTTTGTAACCACATTGATCTCCCCATGTATTTATGCAAGAAATAGCTGCAGTTCTAATCCAATTTTTATTATCTCCTAAACATTGTACAAAGCCAGGGAAAAGAACTCGAATATGTTGTTTTGCTGAAGAACCCATTGCAACAGCTAAAGCTTGACATATGCCTAAAGTTGATTGAGCTATTTTACTATTGCTATCAACTAAACGTAGTGCCAAACCTTGAGGTAAATCACCAATAGAACTTTTTATAAATTTTGCTTCAGATATAATAGTATTTATTTTTTGTAAACCTTCATTTCGTATCTAATTTAAATAAAAATTATTTAGATTATAAAATAATTGTACATTATAAAATATAATATCTACCTTCCAATTTTTATCAGATAATTCATTAAGAAGTCCTTCTGTAATTTGATTACTAATATCAACACGTGGAATAAGATTATTAATATCAATTTCACTGTTACTACTAGATTTTTTATCAATTTCTATATCATCATCATCATCGCTTATTTTATCTTTTTTGTTCTTTATTCCACGAATTGGTATAGGTGGTGTCTCACCATTATGCTAAAATATAATTTACATTATTAAATATAAAATATAAAAATATAATATTATTATTATTATAAATATAATATTAATTTATATAAAATAATATTATATAATATATATTATATATTAGAGCAAATAATAATTTATTATAGATTTACCTTTTCACATTCTTGTTCAATTTGTTGACGCAAAACTGGTTTTTCATTTTCAAAAAATATGAGTAATGGTTTGCCCATAAATAAATATAATATACCTAATAATGTAATTGCTGAAGTTCGAACACCAGGATTTGTTGCTGCAACTGCTTTTTTTATATTTTCCATTAAAGATTTAACATTGATACTAAAACATGTAACATATATATATTAAATTTTATTACTATATTTTACTCTGTGTGTGTGTATATATGTGTGTGTATGTATGTTAAATAAATATATTATTTATAAAAAAATATTATATTAAATAAATTATTACTTACACACAACCAAATTCTATGAGACCTCGACATAACAATGCTAATGTTTCTTGTTGAACTTTAGGATTCTTTTGATTAAAAGCAAATGTTATTACTTCATGTGCTACATATTCTAAACTTGTTGCTTCTGCTATAGTTAAAAGAGTTTCACCAGCAACTGCACTGTTTTTTGCATCTCCTAATTTTTCAGTTATATCCATAATACAATATTCACAAATAGTACTACAAAAAAATATAAATATATTCTATGCAGGAAGAATATAATATATAAAGTATAATATATAAAGAAAACATAATATATAAATTTTAATATAATATACGAATTATCTTACGTTGAAAATGGAAAATTTTCTGCCAAAAACTTTACTATTTCTAGTCGTAATTTTAAAACTTGAAAATTTGTATCTTTAAAACCTGGTTTTTTTGCTAAAGTTCGTACAATAACTTGTATAGGTATTTCCGTTGGATCTATTTGTTTTACAAACTAAAACAATATTACATTTCTTGTTAATTAATATTTTTTACAAAAGTATAAATCTATTATTAAATAAATTATATAAATATTTCAAGTACCTCTAATAGTTGTTCAACTGCAGCTAATCGAGCTTTCCAATTACTATCAACAAGTCCAGTAAGAATATCACCTGGTAGTAATTGAAGAGCTAGTTCTTCTATTTCTTCAACACTATAATTTTTTTCTATTTGAATTTTAGTAGCAGACTTTTTAGAAATAGCTGAAATAAATAATAAAGATTAAATTATACTTATTAACATCGTAAATTTTATTTATCATATTTGTTTACCTAAATTAGTTAAAGAGGAAGTAGATGGTTTTTTAGAAGGAAGTTTTTTAATTGTATTATTATTAGGTTTTTTTGTAGTTTTTGATTCTGATTCTTTAATTTTTTCTATCGATTCAATTTTATTTGGTGCAGTATTTGGTCTTTCTGTGGTTACTTTTGATGTATTAGGAATTTTAACATGTATTACAGCTTTTTCTGCACATTCTTTTATCTAACAAAAAAACATAAATATAAAGCAATAAAATTTAAATAAAAAATTTAATTATTTTTTCTATAATTGAAAAATTTATAATAAATTTTCTAAATTAACCTTAGTCATTTTTAAATTATCTATATCCGTAAGAAATGGCATCATAGATTTTTCACCAATTAATTTCATGGCTGTACCAAGGGCCTCTGCAGAACTATCTCGTACAGTTGGATCTAAAATAATTAAATTTAAAAATTATAAATATAAATAAATATTAATGAAATATTGATTTCAAAATATACCTGGTTCATTTAAAGTTTTTAAGAGTACAGCAGTATAAGCTTTTAATAATTTTTTATTTAAAGTTGGTGGTGGTGTGCGAGAGAAACATCTTGCTAAATAAATAGCAGTTTCTGCTTTTACTGCAGGATTTTTGTTTTCTAATGCTGCAAGTGTATCTTCTAATATAACATCAATAGAAACCTAATAGATATATAAAATATATTATTAATCAATCTTACAAGATATTATATATATTCAATCTTATAGAATATAAATATGAGACATTTGAATTATAAATATTATACAAATTATAAAAAATACATTACATATGAATTAGACAAAACTATTATAAATAAATTTTTAAAACAGTAATAAAATTAAATCTATATAAAATTCGATATTATATCAGTATCAGATGTTAGATATAATATTTATAATGTTTATATTATGTTTTATATTTTTATTATAATTCTTTAATAAAAACATTTATGAATATTTTATTGTATGACATTTTAGTTTTATTTAAAATGTATTGTAGAATATTAGAATAAATTTGGATATATTTATACTTACACTAAGAAAAATAGCATCAGCAGCTTCTCTAAGTGCTTGTACAACATTTTGCTTCTTTTCACGAAATTTTTCCAAAATTGATGAAAGACAAGCTATTGCATAAGGTTGAAATCGTTTCTTAAGACCAGCTGCTAATCCTGCCAAACATTTTCCAGCCAATGCAACTACTAATACATTGGTATCTTTGGATATAATCTGTTTATAATATTTAAAAATAAACAAAATAATATTTAATATATTAATAATAATATAATAGTAGTAGAGAGTAATAAAATAGATGCATACTTTTTTCAAAGCTCTTACTAAATCTCCATAATCACCATTTTCCAATTTAGGATGTTTTACCAAAGCATCTAAAACTTCTAAAGCTTCTTTTCGTTCTTGCCATTTTTTAGCTTCAAGTTTTTCATAAAAATCTTTTGGAAGTTTAGAAAGTATATCAATAGGTTCTAACAATTCATAAGGATCAATTTCCGGAACACAACCACCATCACCATCATCTTTGCCCTCTTAAATATAAAAATTTTCAATTAAAAATAGAAATATTAAAATTACATATATAAGATTATAATTTTTAGATTATTTACCTTCACCGATATCACTTGTTGAATCTGTAATACATATTGCTTTTGGTTTTTGCGATTTTAAAAATCGAATAGGTACAACTTTTTCTTCTTTTAAATTATTAAATTCTGCTTCCAATTCTGTAATTTGCACTGGTTTTAATGTATTCAATTGTTGTTTTAAAGGAGCACCTATCCATCTAAATATTGTAAAATAAATGAATTTTTGTTACCATATATTATACAATACATAATAATAAATAAAAATAAATGAAATTAAAATACCTGTAAATTTCAACAACCATGAATTTTCCTTCTTCCCTAACAGTTTTATCTCTATCTTCAAGAAAACCAGGTATTTTCTTTATTAAAGGCTTTATATTAATCACTTTTGGTCCAAATTGCCTAAAAAATAAAAAAAAATGGATTATTAGTTATACTGAACTAATTTTTTTCATATGTTATTAATAAATTATATAATTACCTTAAAGCCAATGTTAAAGTTGAAATACATGCAGCTACAATTTTTGGATTCTTTGCTTCTGTCCCTTTTAGTAATTCTTCTTGTACAGCTTCATGTTTTTCAATTTCTATATACATCAGTGTTATTTGTACTGCCAATTCTTTTGTTTTGACTTTAGGAGCAGCAATACACTTAGTAACTATTCCATTCATAACTTCCCCAACAGTTCTATAAAATTATGATTTGTATAATTTTATTAAAAGTATTAAAATATATATATTTTAATATACACAAAAATATATTAAAAAGCTTTCAGATATGATATTTTATAAAATAATAGAGAATAAAAAGAATAATAAATTATATATTTATATATATATGTATTTAATTTAATAAAATACATACTTTCCTGCTACTGCAGCATTTTCAATGAAAGCTAATGCTGCTTCTAATCCTTTTTCTTGAGCAGCTGCATTGCTATCTATCACAAACTTTTTGATATATCCTAAGAATTTGTTCCACTCTGGAGACTTTTCATCATCAATACATTGGAATGTATTTACACATTCTTTATATCCATGCAAACGTGCCCGCCATAACTATATGTAAATAATATTAATATTAAAAAAATAAATCAAAAAATCTTTATTAAAGTTTTTTTAAAGTTTTTATTAAAGTAAATATTAAATTATATCAAGAAGTACATATTACCTTATGCACGCATCTTTCCTCTAATGGTAGTTTAATATATTCTGTATCTTGTTCCATTATTTTAAAATCTACAAAGAGAATATCTATTTTTTAATTTTATTTTTTTTTTTAATCTAACCTTTTAATCTAATTAAATCTATTTTTAATATTTTATAAATACAATTATACATTTTATCAAAAATATTAATAATAAAATTATTTGCAATAAACATTATATAATTTTTTTTATAAATAATAATTAATATAATTTTATACAACTTTTAAAGAATATATAGAATATTCAGATTCAATTTTATTTAATTTATGATTGCAGAAATTAGAATAAAATATATATTACACATAATCAATATGTGAAATAGACTTTCAATAGACAATATTTAAAATATTTTATTTTTAAAAAATAAAATACATTTTATAACTACAGCAATTTCTATTGATATATAAATATATTTTAATAAATATTTTATTCTTATTTATAAATATGAAATAGAAAAACATAATAATAATAATAACTAGATTGAATTACTCAAGTCTTAATATTAACATATAAAATAGAGAAATTAAAAATTATAATCTTATTTATATATTAATTATATTTTTTGTAAAATATTTAAAATAATTAAATTTTATATATAAAAATTAAAATTATAACTCAAAGATATTGTTTGCTGTAAATAAATTTATTGCACAATAATATATTTTAATTTCAATAATTTACATATTTCATACATAACGAAGAAAATATTAATTTATCTTTATATATCATATTTTATATTAATAAAATAAACCATAAAATATAAGAAATTTTGTTTTTTATAAGAGATATACAACAAAGCGTATTCTTCGTAAGGATTCATCATTAAAAATTCGGACCTACCTTATAAAACGAAGATATAGGAGAATATCTTTTGACAGAACGTTCTTAGAAAAATGTTGATTCAGTTCATTCGAAATATTCACGTAACCAAACTGTAAGGTCTGTTATGACCTTTCAGTGGCCGTTGAATCGTTTACATTTAATTTTCAAATGTAAGTTCTCTTTACAACCGTCAAGCTAAAAGCAAACAAAAAGACAACTATATCTTTCGAAACTACGAATTTCTGAACCCGGTCAATGTTGCAGTTTGCTACTTTCGTCGATAGATGGTACTAAAAGCCAATTTCTTTTGTTCTTCATCTTATGCTTCATTCTTTTAACCTCGTTTTGCAATATAAAAATTCTTTAATTTCACATATTTTTATCAAATAGTCCTAAATGATCATATATTGAGATTTACAATTTAATGTTTTTTTCTTTTATTTTAAAAAAAATTAAAATATTTTAGTAATATATAATTACAAATATAATATAAATAATATTTATTAAATAATATTAAAATTTTTTTAATTGTATATTATATATACAATAATACATTCTTCAAAATATTATATATATATTTAATTTTATTTTGCATTATTGACTTGTAAATTCACTCAATATAAAAATAGTTACGATGTTTATATATACATATATTATATACAATGTTATTATATTATTATATTATGATATTATATTTTATTCTTACAATTTATAAACATTTAACAATATAAAAATAAACATATAGATTATAAAATCTTGTATTTTAATGCAATTATTATAATAATACTTACCTAAACATTAAATAAAAATTAATTATTAATTATTTTATTCATTCAATTTAATTTGAAATGTTAATATATCATATTAAAAATAAAGATTTTATAAAAATTCTATAGCTAAAATATATTTATACAATTTTATATATATATATATAATGTTATATATTGTTATATCTAAATATGATTACAAATTTTTGTATGTTTTCATAAATTACTTATAATTTATAATATTGTTAACATAATATTGTTTTATAATTATTTTTAATAATATTATCATTAAATTAATATAAATTTCATATATCATAGAATGATTATAAATACATATAATATATATATTGCACGTATACGCATGCGCGTGTGCGTTCATACACATATTGAATATAATATATCTACTTTTATATATACTTTTAAAATATATATGTTTATATTATATCTGTTATAAAAATTAAATCTAATTATATTTTTAATAGCTTAAATTAAATACATATTTATAATTAATAATAATATATAACAATGTTTAAAATATATTGATAATATTAGTATAGTATAATATTAGTAAATATTTAAACATTTTCTTATAATTATTTGAATATTTAATTTTTTAATTGTAATTAAATGCAATAATAAATTTTATTTGCTAGTATAATAATATTATATAAAAATTAAAAACGAAATAAATATTATTCAATACATTTATTAAAGTATTAAACACATTATTGAATTATAAATATATATGAAATATGAAATAATAAATTGTTCTAACATATTATCAATAAAGAAAATTTATGTTAAGTGTAACAATAATTTATTTGAAATATTATGTCAATAGTACATTTATAATCTATAATAATATTTATATGATAATAAAAATTTACTTGAATCTATAAAATACAATGATATTATTTTATTGAAACATGTACTATATATATAACATTAAATAAATTAATACATTACTTTCGATTTCAGAATAATTGCTAATTTTTATATAATTAGTACTAATACAAATTTATAAAATGAACATATTCTATATTATAAGAAAGCAGTAAAAAATAATATTCTATGTCATAAACAAATAAAAATAACACATATATGTACTTATTTTTATATAAATGTTGATATTTTAAGTTTAATAATGCTTTAAGAATCAAATATTTTATACATATGCATATTTTATACATACATACTTAGAAACAGGTTTGGAGAATACCAGAAACATATTCATATATTTTTTTAAAAGTTTATTTATCCTAAGAGATATACAAAACAAACATTTCTTTTGTAACTGTTATAATTCCCCTATAATAACACAGAAAATTCTGCCATAATTTTCAATATCTGTTTTATTAATTATCTCCATCAAATGGATATTTTTGTATCAGTACAATTCATTTTAACCAGCTATGTTAAAATTATGCACATCTGCAAATCAGTATTAAAATATTACAATTTCATATTTTACAGTATTCGTCCTCTAGCTCCCTCTAGAACAGGTTCTTATATAATCACATAATTATCCATTATATGACAATGTGCCAGGGGAGATGAAAAGCTTTTATGTCAAAAAGTAGTACTGCTGAGCCAAATCAAGGTGCAAGTCAGTCTGACTGTAAAGAAGCCTCTTGTATATTCATTTTGCAT